ATTATCCTTTTTTGATGAAGTTTTTTCCGACGACAAATTTTCTAGAGGAATAAAAATGCGCGACGATATATTGTCCGCGCCGGCACAAAGCAGAAGCGAGAGAAGTTTTTTCAATATGTCGTTGTGTCAAAAGTGCGCTCCGACACTTCTTCTACAAATAGAATTTAAATTAAGAAATAAAAATAAATTGCCAGCGGCCGCGATCCTTTGAACCGGCACCTCCGCACTCACCCTCTATGCAGATTTAATACACAATCTTCCGGCACCTTTTTTCCATCAATAAATAATTCCGTGCCACCTGTGAATACCGGAATTGCGATGATATTTCACGGACGAATTTCGGCAGGCGCCGGATTAAGGGTTTATTGCTCGGGGCGAAATTGCGCAGAAATCAACAATCTAGACGTGACGTTATTAAAAAAATAAACTTTAGGTGGACCTCGCTGACGTCCCGCGGTAAACTCACACCGATGACACCAACTCACCGAGAGGCGAACCTTCTAAACAAGTGCTAGGTCTTTTGATAATTTGACCCTCTCCACCCCCTTGTTTTTCTTCACCCGTTATACACACAATCCGCGATGATTGGACTCGTTATCTTCATTCGGGGTCGTACATGGAGTGGCGCGCACCCCTTCCGACAACGATTCCTCCGCACCCCGGCGTCGTCGAAAGTGACATTTGAATACGAAAGACGAACGCCAATACAGTTCACTGACAGCCGCATGTTATCTCGTGGCGCATATTGGCTGCTGTCAGACGCGCTAATATCTTACGGATGGCAAGCATTTTATTTCTGGTGGCTGGCACGGGCCTGACAACTTTAAAACACATAATGGTAATGGGTTCGGGCGCACCGAGTCGCAGCAATAACAATAAAAACTAACCCGCGTTTCAATATTTATTTTTACGCGCGACAAGCGCACTGTTCTACACGTTTATTAATTTTTCAAGGCGACGCCGAGGCCGTAAAGAAGCGGCGTTACGCGAGGAAGCCGCCTCCGACGACAATGCCTCACGCTGCGACAGAAAAATTAAACGACCTCGCGAGGAGCGGCGAGGAACATTAATACCGACGGTGGTCGAGGTGCGCCCTGACCCAATTAACGCGAACAGACGCGGCGTCTGCCGCGACCTACGCGTACGCGGTAGCGCAATTAGCGAACATCTTGATATATTCGTACGCGGTAGTACGGTGCGCGTAGCGAGTAACGCTCAGCGCCACCTGAGCGGTTTTTGCGTACTCGTGTGAAATGGCGGCGCCAGACGAATTTAACGTCTCTTTTCATCTCATTTGAAATGAAACAACGTTGCGGCGGTAACACGATTTTAATAACATCATCAACGCGGCGCGTCCTCCCGGGACGCATCGTTTGACCAAAAAACGGACAAGATCCCTGATGGTGCATCACTAATGGACGAAACGGTGCGGTCGTTAAGGCACTTTTTCGTCGGTCACGAACAAGGCGAAAGTTCGACTTCACACTAACATAAAAAATAATATGGTTAGGTGTAAAAGGCGCAGGAAGGATTAACACTTCGTTCTGTATCTCGTTTCATTAGTCACGTACTTTGACCTCGTTTTATCGTTGCGCTGACGCTGGAAAATGGGCCGGAGAAATTTGATGGGGCGATCATAAAGCGCTTTACTCTGCACCGGCCCAAATATTCGGGATGGAAATTTACAATGCGGAGGTTTATGAGAGGAGGGGGAGGTAAGTCATGGGGGGATCTAGGAAGATACAAGGTGCTAGGTCGAGCATGAGGTTTCCGCTGCTATTATTTTTGGATGATTAATGGATTTTTAACATTTAAGATCCTTTTAGGTTTAGTGCAAGAGCTGTAAGTCAAATGTCAATGACAGATTAGCCCGAGATGTCGCAGAAGTGGCCAAACCTACGTGTTGTGTGAAATTTCGATGTGATTTTAGACACAGCCGTTACCCTAGCAACGCATACGATCTTTAAACCCGATAAACATGTAAAGTCGTATTAAAAGGTTAATCGTAACACACCAAGCCAAGTGAACAATTTATTTATCGTCATGGATTCCTTCAAAGAAAAACACAAACAAAAAACCCGTCGAATAATAAATCAGCTCCGTCACAGAGGTAACTCAACCACAATATCTTCCGGCATTGATTAAATGGAAGTTAAAACATCAAGAATATAAATCGAAGATTGACGAAACGTCAAAGTTAAATGTCGAGAAAGTTTTTAATTTGCGTTAGCGCTTGCCACATTTGCTTAGTTTACCGGCAAGCAATATGCTAATACCTCCTGGAGACTTAAAAACTCCGTGGAAGTTTCCTGCATGCCGCCGCGTGCCAGCCTCGATAAAGCTAGCAATTGCAAACTTACGAGTGTACACAAGACTTATAATGAAAGTTTGTCCGGAAAAAAATCCACCGCAACTCCAGTGACTTAATTCCGCGTAAAGGCCAATTTGTCAACGGGTTATCCAAACAAGCCTGCGAATAATCCGCCATATATCAACCGCGTAAAGAAGCCGAAGAAGCGGAGGCCTGTTCTTGCCCGGATTCGCCGCTTTCTGTGTGTACTCAGCGCTCCGCGACCGCCATAAATCTACCACTCTACTGTTAGTATAAGTTTCGGCTTTTGACTGCGGCCGTGATCCGCCTTGGCCTAAGCCGGCTCCGGGCGTTCCGGACTACACGAAAAAAACAACAACCGAATCTATACGTATTTAGCCGGAAAAGAACGCTTTGTTTGCTTGACGGAGTGCACCTGTAGAATTGCCAAGTCTGGGCTCCGGGCGCTTTTTAAACAAATGAATCGAGTACAATGGACCCGGAACTTGCAACGCTCAGACTTTATTAATTTAATTACACACTTTGTTCGGGGGAGTTCTGAAGGGTTTTGGTTTTATTCCGAGGATCAGGGAAGACTTCAACAAAGAGCTTGACTTTTTAGTTGTTGTACGCCGCCTTCCTGGGCCGAGACACCCACCGACAACACTTTTTGATTCCTATTTTAATGAAAATCAAAGAAAAGCTGCATTTTCGCCCGCGGAGAATATAATAGGTTCAGTTTTTTCCCTCGCATTGTGAGGTAAACGTCGCGACGGAAAGCGAGCTCGTTTTTGTCGTTTGGCGTCAACGAACTTTTGGACGTGAAAGGCGAATCGAGTGGGTCTTTTATCGTTTTTGTTTGTCAAGCGCGTGCTGCGTGCCAACGGAAGAGCCAAGGAAATTCTCGGCCGGAAAAACTTTTATTAAAAGCACATGTGTATTTTCACATCAATTAGTTTTCTTGTTCTCGTTAGGTCCTCGGCGTACTAATATCTTCTTCTGTTGGTTTAGCATTTGATATGAGGGTCACGTCTCTGATCGATAAGTTGGAAAGTATTTTTTCTATTGTAGAGGAAAGTTGGCGCTTTTTTGCGAACTGCTGCTTCTGGCGCGTCCAACTTCCTGCTTTTATTGAATAGCGAGCATCTTATTAATTAAAACTAATACTTAACTAGCGATAAACACGACTTGAACATTAAGTTGGCTGGTAAAGTTTAAGACGCAGATTTAATATAATTAGAGAACAAGACTAACACAACGCAGATCTTAATTAATTAAAATAATTGGACTCGGATGAGTGTATTTCCTTTACCTGGAAATGTAAGCGAGGAAATTGGGAAAAACAATAAAGTTCGCAACAAGTTACGGATAGAAGTTGCTAGCTCCTGTCGCGTATTAATTACTGCAGAGAAGACAAAAGTGATTCTCGAAATCGTTTCTCTCGCAAGTGCGTCGAACTTAAAAATAAACGACAGAGCGAAAAATAAAAATAACGTGTTCGACTCATGCTAAACTAACAAGTTAAAATTAATTTCGAGGGGGTTGATTAGTGGTCCTGCGAGCCGGATCGCCCTCCGGCGTCGTTTTTTCGCAAATTTCCTGCGGTGATTTGTTAAGCTTAACCAATGCCAGGCATTCGGTGTGAGTGTTCGAGCCCCGCCCACGAGCCCACCGTAATGTAATCTTCTCGCGTGTCGCTCCGAAATCACTCCAATTGATTTAAAATTTCAATCTTGGAAGATTGAGTTGTGCCGTCATATATGAGTGCTCGTACCTCCTCTAAAGCGCTCTCTGATAAATGAACTTTTCATTTGTATGAAAGTTTCTTTTGTTCGGATCGAAAAACTCTTTAAAATTAGGTAGAATGGGTGCTGTTTCCAAATGTTCCCACTAAATCAGTATGCCATTGTAGTTTGTACAATGAGCTTAGTATTATAGCGCGAGCTTTTGTTCCCGGCAACTAAAGCATTAACTAACTTAGAGTTTGTCTTAGGCTCTTGTTTACAGTCGTCTCTGGTCGTAATTAGATCGTGCATTCGTTAATTACACGTAATTTAGCAATTCGTGTGAGCCGAGCCGGAGCGCGACCTTTTTCCATGCACCGGATTAGGGGCCGCATTCCGGAGACACGACATCGGCATGTCTTGTCTGATCGCCTATTTACATATTTCATCGATCATTCCGATTCTTCCCGGACTTTCCGGATACGGAGGATTAAGCAGGACTGGTCGTGTGCAAACACAAAATTGGACATGATTGATGTCTTCATTATTTACTTAAATTGAACCGTTCATATAATAAAGCTCATCTGTTAGGGTTCTTGAGCATCACTCAAAAATGATAAACAATGATTGATGGAGCGAAAAATTAATTATTTCGGGCGAAAAACCGGATTTTACATTTCCGCGGACCACATTTTAACTACTCAAAACACAATCCTCTTTGTTTGTTATTTATTTCATCTACTTTCTCTTTTTCACGGGTCTTAACAGCACAAGATCACGTTTCCGGGCAAAATCGATATGTTGCGCAAAAACCGTATTATTGTCAACGTCAGTGTTAATATGGATGCTGCCACGATTAAATAAACGAAATTTGCTATCGGAAGACTTTTCGCGGCATAAAACGTCAATCCCGCTCAGAAAAAGCCGGCAAAGAAGTCCCGCATAAGCAATCGACAAAAACTCACCCTCTCGATGTGGCAGACAACTACACTACGGCGCTCTCCTGCGAACAGAAAAAGAGACAAATTAAAATGTGTGGTCATGGCGTGTCGAGGTCGGCTTATTTTCTATAAAACTGTAACACCAAGACATTTTTATACAGGAAATGACAGCGAGCTGGGAGCCAACAGCACGTGCACGTCATGTTTTTTTTTCTCCTTAGTGAGGAGTTTGCTTTCTCTCCGCTGTTTCTTTTGGGAGAATATGGAGCGGACGAAATTGTTTCCACAAAAATAAATTGGCAGCAGTTTGTCGACGATGAAGGCTATTTAACGGGAACTATTCAATATTTCAACGGACTTTAATTAACGTTACGGTTTTCTTTTGGTGATCTTTTGCCGCTGAAAGATGGACCGCGAATTAAATTCCTGTGGGGAGGGCCGTTGACGTTATGAGGGCTTTTTGCGGGTTATGGCGGCGATTTGTCGTGGCGGAACTATCTCGCTAAAAACCGATGAAAAAATGCGCCGCTTTACTTTACACGAAACACTGGTAATTTTTGGGAACATTTGTATTTCGCACTCCGCATTCTGACACTAAAATCAAAGTGGACACAAGTTACGGTAATCCCCGAAAATCGGTTCAAAGAAGAGTGACACTGCTGGGTACTGGATGGCTTATGATGAGATATTTACACTTCCAGTAATTAATTTGTACGACGCTTTCCACCGTATGCAGATTCACATTAGTCGGTCGTTGTCTATTATATCCGTTTGTATTCGAATTAATGTTGATGAATAATCGTCGAACAGGGTGGAAGCGACGGAAACGTCTGCTTCTCTCCTATAATTTATAGGTAGTTTTAAGTTTTCTAAAGAGGAAAAGAGGGAGGGTTTTTGCAGCCACGTTTTAAATTTAGCTGGCGTTTCATTTGAATCCTGGTGATCCTGCAATTGATTCTCAACGCGACATGAATGCCTGATGTCCCTTTAATTTTTGTAAAGTTGTGCTTTTCCTATTTTGGTGGTATACTATTTATCGTTATCGTTCCAACGGCGTAAAGCGCGGCTCTTGTGGAACCCTTTCAAGCTGAACTTTTTAATTTTGCTCCTTTTATTCCTAGACGCTCCTCGTGCGAAAAAGCGCAGCATCTAAGCGACGAAGCCTCGGAAGCAGTGCCGATGCAATCATTCGCGCAATTTTCAGTCGCTTTGTGCCATTAAAGCAAGCCCACCGTACACAATACCCGAACCTTTTAAAGAATCGATATCCCGGTAACATTATTTTCGTCCAATCAACACGAATGCAAAGATCACCCAATCAGAAAGCAATTACACGAACAAACAGTTGCCGAAACTCTCTCCTCATCATCGAATTCGGCCCATCGCACACCTGCACCTTCATTTACTTCCTTTTGTTTCGTTAGCAACTAATTGCCTCCATAATTCATTGGTCGCAATGCGCGAAAATGTGAACAGTAATCAAAAAGCCCTTTGTTAACCGGCGTCGTGCATGTGAACCGTACATTTCTTTGTGGGTAGAGCGCCAACATAATTTACCTGTCAGAGATAGCATTGTGCTATTGTTTCGAGCCGGGGAGAATCTTCGCTACTTCGCAATTACTCGGAGACATTCGGATGCGGTGCGGAAACATCTGAACGAGGCGGACGTATCCTGTCGTCCCGTCCATTACGGATCGGGGAAAAACCCGCCGCCAAACATAAATCGACAGTTACGTGCGTGAGGAATTACGAGGTTCTTCTTGCGTGTCGACAACAACGGCCAAACTTTTCCACTTTGGGACTATTATAAAAATGCAAAAATTCCATCGGGGGGGATTAACGAGGCGCGGAGAGGCGCATTAGGGAGTTGGTGCGGGCCAAGTAAGGAAATATTGAAATTGCTCGTACACTATTTTAAAAATGCAAGGACGGGGACGTCGGGACCCGAGTGCAACGAAGATGGACAGATCGCACTCGATGGAACACGAACCGGAAGCTCGTGATGTCACACAAAATTGCATGCGAAAATGCTCGAGTGAGAATGTGGCAGTTGGGGTGCGAGGGATGTGGTGAAATTAATAGTTTCATCCGGACTGGCTTCTCAGCACTTTTGCGGCCCGAGATCGGCCACGTCTTGTTACTTGGGAGGGTTGTGGAGCGAGCGGTTCGAGACTCGTAGCCGCCAGCGACATATTCCAAAAGGGCCACCATCAACTCCGGTCCACTGGTATGTACCTGGAGTGCCTCAATCCCCCGCCTTAAAGGGTAACCATGGTCACAGAAAAGTTCAGTTTTAAACGTTGTCATTTAAAAAAAAAATACAACAAAATTTCGAAAAACAGCATTTCTTCTCCAGAAATTCTTCTTCTTAAAATGCTCATATGAAACTACAACGGCGAACGGCGTTTTACGTTATTTCTGACACTGTCTAGGTAGGTAAGATTCTGCCTTAAGGCGAGGGACTAATGTAATATGAATGTAACGAGATATGACCTCGGTATAACGTCACCTGTGATTCTTTGATCAGCGTTTGATTTTACAGTTTTTCAATGTTTCAGTTTCACGATTTTCAATTTTTAGATTTCTGTATTTTCTGATGTTTCCATTCTGCGTTTTTCCAATTTTTCTCCTCTTCAATTTTACGATTTTTCAATTTTTCAAATTTGACTTTTATAAACTCTCCGTTTTTCAATTTTTCATTTCTTCAATTCTACAAATTTTCAATTTTTTAGGTTTTTGGTTTTTCAATTTTTTAAGGTTTTAATTTTTCGACTTCACTTATTCAACTTTGATTTCTCAATTTTTCGAAATTTCTATTTTGGGATTTTTAGATTATTATTTATTATTCAATTTTTCGATTTTACAGTTTCTGAATTTTTCAATCTTCCGATGTTTCAGTTTTACCTTTTTTCAATTTTACGATTTTTTAATACTTCGATTTTCGGATTTTTCAATTTTTGACTTTTCTAAATTCTCAATTTTTCGATTTTTCCATTAATCGATGTTTCGATTTCCCATTTCTTGACTTTTGACTGTTTCGATTTTCCAGTTCTTCAATTTTTTGATTTTTCGATTTTCAGTTTTACGTTTTTTCAATTTTTCTCTTCAATTTTACGATTTTTTAATACTACGACTTTTGGATTTTTCAATTTTTAACTTATCTAAATTTTCAATTTTTCGATTTTTCAATTAATCGATCTTTTGATTTTCCCATTTCTTGACTTTCGACGGTTTCAATTTTTCAATTTTTCGATTTTTCAGATTTTTCACTTTTCAATTTTTTGATTTTTTTTTAAGGTTTCGATTTTTCGACTTCACTTTTTTGATTTTTCGATTTCCTAATTTTTCAATTTCTTAGATTCTCAGCTTTTGGATATTTCTGTTTTGAGATTCAGTTTTTTCATCCTTCAGTTTTTCTTTCCTTTATCAGTTTTTCGATATTTTAGTTTTGGGATTTTTCGATATTTCGATTCTTCCACTTTTCGATTATTGACTTCTGGAATATTCGAATTGTCGATTTTTTTACTTTTTCGATTTTTCAATTCTTCGAATTTTAAATTTTAGATTTTTCGATTTCTAGATTTTTCATTTCAATTTTTTAATATTACAATTTTTCAATATTTCAATTTTTCGAATTTTTCAAATGTTTCAATTTTTAGACTTTCCGGTTTTAGATTTTCTGTTCTTCAATTTTTCGTTTTTTCAAATTTTCGATTTTTAATTTTTCAGTGTTGTGATTTCCCGATTTGTTGAGATTTGATTGTTCAATTTATCAATTTTTCATTTTTTAACTATTCGATTTTACCTATTTCGGTTCCTCAACTTTTCGACTGTCGACTTCTCGATTTCTCAATCTTTTGATTTTTCGATTGTTCACTTTTCGAATTTTCGGTTTTCGATTTTCCAGTTTTTCGATGTTTCGATTTTTTAAATATCCGATTTTTCAGTTTTTCGATTTTTTAAATTTGAAGGTTTCTATTTTTCCATTTCGGGTTTTAAAGTTTTTTTGAAGCTGAAAATCGAAAAATCGAAAAAAGCGAGTACCTACCTAATTAAAAAATCGAAACATCCAAAAATTGAAAAAATTGAAATGTTGAAAAATATCGAAAAATAGAAATACTCCAAAAGCCAAAAATCCAAAAGTTAAAAAAAAATTGAAAATTTAAAACTAAAAAATCGATAAATGGAGAAAGCGAAAAATTGAAAAATGGAAAAACTGAAAAATCAAAAGTTTTAAAAAATCGAAAAATTGAAAAACTGAAAAATCAAAAGCTGTGAAGTCGAAAAATCGAAAGATCGGGGAATCGAAAACATCAAAGAACTGAAAAATCTAACATTTAAAAATTAGAAAAATGAAGAAATACTACTATTGAATTGAAAAATCGAAAAATCGAGAAATCCAAAAATCGAAAAATCTCAAATTTAAAACTTGAAATATAAAAAATTGGAAAATCGAGAAAAATTGAAGAACCTAAACACTGAAAAATCCCAAACCTAGAATATTAAAAAACTGAGAATTTAAAAATTGGAAAATCTAAAAACCGAAAAATCGAAAAATTGAAAAATTCAAAATTTAAAATACCGAAAATTTGAAAAATTCGAAAATTGATGAGTCAAAAAACTAAAAAATTGAAGAATTCCAAAACTGAAACCATCAAAAATTGGACAATCGAAAAATTGAAGAACTTAAAAATCAAAAAATTTAATAATTGAAAAGCCGAAAAGTCGGAAAATTGAAAAACTTAAACATCGATTTTTTAATACTTCGATTTTTGGTATTTTCAATTTTTGACTTTTCTAAATTCTCGATTTTTCGATTTTTCAATTAATCGATGTTTTGATTTTGCCATTTCTTGACTTTCGACTGTTTCTATTTTTCAATTTTTCGATTTTTCAGATTTTTGATTTTTCAATTTTTCGATTTTTCTTAAGGTTTCAATTATTCGACTTCACTTTTTTATTTTTCGATTTCCTAATTTTTCAATTTCTTAGATTCTCAGCTTTTGGATATTTCAGTTTTGGGATTCAGTTTTTCCATCCATTTTTCGATATTTCGATTCAT